TGTGTGTGTGTGTGTGTGTGTGTGTGTGTGTGTGTGTCGTGGGACCAAAAAAAGTGGTGGCAGCTCGGTTGCAGGCAGGGAGCAGATTAATCCACACAGAGCCAGAATGCTGCCCCACAGCCGTAGGCATGAGGCAAGGGAGTGTGTGTGTATGTGTGTGAACAGAACGTGTGGTTATGTGTGTATATTTAAGAAAAAGACAGGACAAATAAATAGGACGAGAGCAGAAGAGAGGAGAGGAGGGGTAAAAGCAGCCATGAGGGAAAAGGTCTTGTCCTGTCCTGGTCCCTGTTGGAGCAGCCATGTGGCAGCTAGAAGCTGTTCATAGGACAAGGGCTTTGGCAGCCTGGACAGGACGAGATGGGACGAGCACACACAGCCCCGTGGCTGTAACAGCCCAGATACTCAGCAGGGAACACAAACACACAAACACACCTCACAGTGAACATACACTCACATATTGTTGGTGTCAAACACAGACCTTCTACGTCCAAAGTGTTATGTGGAAAATTCAGTTAATGCTGTCTAACTTGCTTTTTACTAATGGCTGAATAAACTGCTGTGTTTACAAGACATGTACAGTTAGGATAAAAAACAGAATAACTAAGAATACCAAACATGAACAACACACAAGAAAATAAAAACAAACACAAATAAATGGAAAAAAAGCCCAAATCCAACCTTTTAACCAAAAACAGCGAACAACGAAATGTGTCAAACACACGAAATATGAGAAAACAGAGAGAAAACTCTCTGCATGTGTTTCCTCTGATCTGGTTCCACCCTTTTAACGAGGACCTTATACTGCACATTGTTCATTAATCTCACATTAATCTCTTTATTTATTTCTGACTATCCTTGAAACAAACAATAACACTTCAGTCTGATTCTTTACAAGTTCGGCTGCGACATTATTCACTTCATGTGTTATGCTGTGTGTCTTCCTTCAGGCACTTGCAGACACAGACCCTTTTTAAACACCTCTCATCTGCCCTTTTCACTGACGGCAAACACAGGAACTGTCTGAATTTCACTCCTGTAACCCTGAAATATTTTTCTCTCTTCTCATCTTCCTCTGTCTTCAACCCCCACCTCCCCCTTTCTCTTTTTAATCCCGGCTACTTTGCATCACTGTAACTTGGCTCAGAGCAAACTGTGTTATTTTTACACGCGGGCGGGCGAGCAGAGCGAGCGGGCGGGCGAGTGGCGGCGGTGTAGATTTCCAGGTTTTTTCCGAGCACCTTCCTCCAACCTCGCCCATCTGCCGCCATCTGCCTCGCTTTAGCCCGCACTTTCTACTGCAATCACACACACAGCGCACACGCGCACACACACACACAAATGCACACAGACGCACATCCTGTGAAAAATAACCAACAGCCTCCAATCAGCTTTTGGCACGCAAAGGGAGGGACTCTAAAAAAAACACAAATGCTGCGCCAAATTGTCCTCCATACTTTTTCAAGTGGGATATACACTATGCTTCTCCCCTCCTGCTTTCATCTCCACATCTCCATCGCTCTGTCTCCACCACCCACAGTCCTGCAACGCTCTCGCCAGTTGATCTGCTGGCCTTCGAGTGAGGCAGAGCTGATGGCTGGACAGCGGATGGCTGCAAAAAAATTTTCCAAGAACATAGTGATGTGTCTGTGTGTCTGTGTGTGTACGTGTGTTAGTGTGAGCACTGTGCTGTGCCCTTTTCAAATTCAACCAACACCCTTGTTCACACGCATAAGCTGCATATTTACAGTTCACCCTGATATTATGGAAATGTTTCGCTGGTGAACTCTGCAAATGAAAATGTACACAAATACATTCCACTATAAGAAGATATTACACGCAGCTACTGCGGGTACTTCGTTTATCGCCCATTTATCAAAGATCAGTAATAATCCCGGTCCTCCCACTGATCAGTCAGGGCCGTTGTTAGATAAGCAGGTGTTGTGCAGTGGGCAACATGAGTCCCACAGTTCACAGGGGCTGTCCTGAACCCTGAGCGCTGCAGATTCACTGCTTAATGGATTGGCTGCCTGTGGAGGCCACAGATGCCTTTATGTACTTCACAGCCTCAGTCTTATGTACATAAAATAACTGAATATCATTACTGTGCATGTGTTCAAATGTATTTAAACAAGGTACAGTCATCAGTCATGGCTTCTCATGTCATCTGGGATAAACTTTACATTGAGTAGAATATATATATATACTAGAACACATGAATACGTAGTTTTTGTAATGATCAAGTATTCAGGTCGACTGTGTATTATCTAATGATGGAGCAATGCCACAGCAAAAGCTGGGTGGTATCCTAAATGTTTACCACTGTTGTGCTTAATATATCCCACTCACTCTTTGAGAAGCACTTTGGGAGGTCAAGGGAGATTGTACAAAGAGACACAAGGTCTAAATGAGGAGAGAGGGAGACAGTTTTTAACTGTTCAGCTTTCAATTGTTTTTTGTTTAAGGTTTCTGCAACAAAACTTAGGTTCAGGAAAATATGTTTGGGTTACAATAGACCATGTTACCCACAAGCCTTTCTGTCCCATTGACTCTTTAAGGGGTCAAAGACAGAATAACATCGGGGTGTAAATAGCCACATTATTCATCCACCCTGGGTTCAAGTAGCATTTTTGGCTCTGGACATCTGAGTGTGTGAACTGACATTACAGTTCACCTTCACTTCACTCGTCTCTTACTCCTGCCTTTCTTTTTTCACACCTAGGATTAAGACATGTAAACCCGCTACACTGTGGAGGAGATGCTGTGATGTTATATTTTACATTAGCCTTCACACCTTACTTTAAGGTGGGTGTGGGTGTTATAGAACCCCAAGAATTTAATTTTGTCCTACTCTTACACTCTTACTGTATAACAGAAGAACATAATGGATAGATGATTAGATGGATAAAAGAGCAAGAAGATAAAGGGAGACTTAAGACATGGGCACAGGTCATAAAATCATGAAGAAAGACCCATTGAAGAAGTTGATACGAACTCTAATCCATGTCGTAGTTGCCTTTGCATGCCACCCTCCCCCTGGAATAATTGTAACCTCAACTAAAAGCTGACTGCTGATTCAATATGATGTGTGTTGTGCTACCGCTCGTAGTCTAAACAATGACATTTGAAAATATAAAGTATAAAAAGAGGGTTACCTCTGGTGCTAGGTACTCTGGAGTGCCACAGAAGGTCTTCATGGTAGCAGCGTCTGTGATACCCTCCTTGCAGAGGCCAAAATCAGTGATCTTGATATGGCCATCTTTATCCAGCATCAGGTTTTCCAACTGAAATGGAAACAAAATGTTCAGCATCACTTCCCACAATGCCACTTGTAGCATCAGAATCTTAAAAGAAAAACTGTGAAAATGGAAAAGACACATTTAGTCCTGGTGATGCATTTATCGGGAACAGGTTTGAATTCATCTGAAGGGCCTTTTGTCAGAGGTTATAAAAATATATTTTACTGTTTGATCGTGACTGAGAATCAACACTGTTACTTAGTCGCTTTGGTAACTAAGTGGAATACTTTGTGTACTGTGAAGTCAAGGTTTTACTGCTTTGAAGAAGAGAGCAGAGGCAGACATGTGAGGACAACCATTTTGTATTAGCCCACATGGTGACGGTAGACACACTCAGGTGCACAAACTCTGAGCAGAGGAGGGAAATAAACTTCAGGCGTGTAGTGGAGCCACTCAACCTTTTAATTTTAATGGCTGAAGTGTTTTTCTCGCTCTCTGTCAGCTTTCTTCTCCTTCCTGTTTTCTTGGCTGCTGTGAGCGGGACTGGGGCCAAGGCTGCCAGGCAGGCGCTCAGACAGAGCCATCTACCTCTCTACCTCTGTGGCATCAGCACCCCCTCCCTCCCGCCTGCCTCTGCCTTCCGCACTTCTTCTCTGTTTTATGTCTGTGTGAGCTCGTCCCTGTCCCTCTCTTTAATTACCACACACCCTGAGACGCTCGTCTGCTCTTGGATGAAAAATAAACAGTGGAAACATAAGAGATGTGGGGGCTTTAAAAAATGTTTTTTCCCCTCAAATATCTGATCATTCTCTTCCAATGCCCCCAAACCAGCCCCCGTCTCTGCTTCTGTTTACCTTGAGGTCCCGGTACACAATCTTGGCGGAATGCAGGTAGTCTAGAGCTGAGACGATCTCGGCGCCGTAGAAGCGCGTGCGCTCCTCCGAGAACACCCGCTCTCTGGACAAATGGAAAAACAGCTGCGGCAGAAGGAGGGAGGATATGGGAGGAAGAGAGGGTGAGAGGGAGTTAGAGAGAGGGAGAGAGAAAGAGGGGGGGAGAGACAGCAGGGACGGCACAGCAATAATTACTGATTTATTGGAGGAAATTAGCACAACACAAACTGGCTGCCCGCACCATATTGAGATGATAGATAGTGGAAGGGAGGGTGAGTGTGGGGTGCGTGTGCGAGAGGTGCTTGTGGAGAGGGGTTGGGTGGGTGGGGGGGTGTCTCGGAGGAGGGTGGGTGGAGGCACTCGGCAGCTGGCGCCTCATCTAGCAGCCCCCCTCAACACACACACTCACACACATACCTCTTCCATGTTACCCTCTGGGCTAGGTTGGCACAGTGTTGGCGTGGAGTTAGGCAACGGGGGCCAAATCAAGGGTTTAATCAATACACCAGTCTAGTTAAAGAGAGGCCGACCGCCGCTGCCGCCGCCGCCAATCGCCCCACCCTACCCCACCTCCCATCCCCACCGCCTCCAGTGCCGCACTCATTAGTGGCCTAACTGGCCTTGCCCCTTGAGCCTCCATCTTCATTTACTTCATTCTCATATCCATCCCTCTGTTTTTGGCAAGGAGCTCATGTTACGACTTTAGAGAGTACACAGCTCCTCTTTTTTCCCCAGGTGGCTCTGCCTCTCGTTTCTCCTCTGTCCTGCTTCTTTTTTTTTTTAATCACTCACCTCTCACTCCCTTCATCTCCCCCTCCCTAGCCGTCAGTTGTCAAGTTGTCATTGTCACACTGCTACACATGTGGCACCGAAATGACACCAGCCTGCTGCGCCGCAACAGTCAAGTCGAACAAATTACCCATGAGGCCAAGGGGCACACATATCCCCATTAATTGTTCAGGGAGGTTTGCATATGGCCGCTGGAGTGATGCTCGCAGACCACCTTGCTCAAATGATGTGCGTGTGTGTGTGTGTGTGTGTGTGGAGGGGGTAACACGACAGGTGGGCCTTCATCAGTGTACTGGCAGCTGTGACTGTGGCAGGTTTGTAATGGGCTGTGTGTGTCCATGTTTGTGTGGTATGTGTGGTCACAATTCGTCCGTTGAGGTAAAAATTTGCCGTGTGTGTTTGTCTAAGAGTGTGTGTGACTGCTGGTGTTTTCTGAGTGTGTGTGTGTGTGTTTGCTCGGGCCTGGCGCTGGCTGAACTGCCTAACTAACTGGGAGGGGAGCAGGTGACAGTTACACTGAGGGAATGAACCAAGATTGCAAAAACGGCCCACTTAAATATCAGAGAAATTGAAAAGTGGGGGAATCCAAACTCATTTCGTCTCCGACTGTCATTCCGGTTATATCTGCCCCATAGGTGTGTTCATAAATAGACACAAGCAGGAGAGACGAGAAGGCAAGCGAAAGGCCAGTTGGTTGGCAAATTAACTGAGTTAGAAAGAAATTGAACAGTGAAACTTCAGTCACTTCCTGAGAGTTTGCACGTCTCGACATTCCTTTGCTGCTTTACTCCAATTATGTATTCATCTGTGAGGGTTACCCAGGGACTTTTACGTATAAACCCAGACAAATGTTTAGGAGACCTTCTTTACATGTTGAGTACAGGCTGTTTAAGTTTGGTTGAACACTGGCGTTGTGCAGCACTCTGGAATGATACTCTTGTTTTCAAAAATACAATTTATATCCTGTAAATATTCAACAATAACAAAGTTTTCATCTTACAGCAGAACGTCTCTGTCAGCTAATGTAGTGGAGTCGTGGTAATCACACACAGCACAGTCTTCATGAATGGATGTCCGTGTGTGTGTGTGTGTGTGTGTGTGTGTATGTGTGTGTGTGTGTTTTACCTCTCCTCCATTCACATACTCCATGACGAAACAGAGGCGGTCTTTAGTCTGGAATGAATACTTCAATGACTGAAATGAGAACCACACACACACACACTCACTGAGCTCACTCATACAAACACATTTTATAAGTTCTATAACTGAACAGATTACTGTGCGCGCTACTAAAGCACACTTGGTCTTTGTGGACAAATTCACAAATTCATTATTAAAGCCATTGCTAACTATTTGTTGCCTATAATTTCCTTGTCCTATTGTATTACATGTATTAAATCTCACAGCATACTGCATATTGTGCTCAAACTATCCAACTGTGCAATGGAAATAGGAGTGTACAAGTGATTGCAAACTCAAAATACATGGACTACCACGACGCATTTACTGACACAATAGCTTCTCGTTTACTTTCTGTAACAGCACAGACATAATCCACTGTTCAGAGGGACGACTTGAATAACATTAAATATTGTTTTTTGATTTGTACCACGTGACAAATCATGTACTCATCTCCTAAATGCACCTCCAATAAAATGAACAGTGAAGTGACAGAGTGAACGATTTCACACACAGCCAGAAGACTGGTCGCATTCTAACTAAAACAGCAGGAGCGACAAACGTGATCAGTTTATGTCTGTATTTGCCCGTGTGTGTGTGTGTGTGTGTGTGTGTGTGTGTTCTCTTTTGAGGGGGAAAGCTGCTTGACAAAAGAACAGTTGGTCTGAATCTCTTTGTGGCTGCAGGTGTGATGGGGTAAACTCAGATGTGAACTGTAATTGCTCTCAAGACGGTAAGTGTGTGTGTGTGTGTGTGTGTGTGTGTGTGTGTGAGTGAGTGAGCGATTGATAAAAAATGAGCAGAGGCTAATGTGTGTTGGTGTACATCAAAGACAAGGTGTAAAAGTAACAGATGCAGCTGTTAATGTACAACAATTTGCCGCCTCACTTATAATTAGCCACAAGAGACTCAGGTATGTATAGGATCAATACGTTGTTCTGTTTGTTTGTTTGTTTGTGTGTGTGTGTGTGCATTCACTCTTAGAGATGTCTATACAGTGTACACACATACTGTCTGTCTCTATTTAAACCTTTTGTTTTGGTGTATTTGAGGTACTCACGGTGAGAAAGGGATGTCTGGTGTTTTTCAGTACTCTGCTCTCTGTGAGTGTGTGAGCCACTTCATCCTGTACACAGGAAGCATTTTCAATCAAACAGCAAAAAACCAGAAGAGCAACGTCAACGCAAACTTCAGTTTCATGTGGTCCTTTCCAGATAATGAAAAAAACAGATATAAAGACTGATCAATAGACAGTGTCTGCTGGACTGACCTTGGCTATGATCACTTCTTTTTTAAGGATTTTCATGGCATAATATTTCCCACTGGCCTTTTCTCGGACCAGAATCACTTTGCCAAAGGTTCCCTTTCCCAGCAGCTTCAGGTAGTCGAAGTCACTCATTGTCTGGAACACAGAAGACCGATGTCAGTGATTTGTCTGTGCTTTAAGTTGATCAGTTGACACGATCCCACATTTTAGTCAGGACCAAATATAAATGATTGACTTTAGATAACTCGGCCTATGGCTGCAGAAACTAAACATGGTCATCTTTGTTGTGTCCATTGTTCAGTTTGTTTTCCACATATATATTATGTATTGACAGCTACTGGTCAGAATACCATTAATAGAAGTAGTCATGTTAATGGTCCCGGTTGGATGACACCTACAGATCTTTCTGATATTACAGCTTGTGCCACTGAGAAAATGTCTCCTGAACAAATGAAAAATTGATTTTTACTGAGCCACTAATATTTTTGACAATAACACTATAAACCTTGAGTGTGTGTATTGAACCATGAAGCCTGCAGGGGACTCGAGCTGTATTTCAGACTGTTCTTTTTTTTAGCTTGTAAATGTCACCTTTGCCTTTGCATTTGAAACCATCTACATTTACAAAAGCTATTTCAAATCACTGCTTTTTACTGCTGGATCACTATAATTTGGGAAAACCAATTTACCCCTTTGTTGTTGCAGTGGCTATTTCTTTAGTTAAAACCTGTGACTGAGTGAACAATTTTTAAAATTGCAAGCATTCAACTGTAATAACCCATTGCATGGTGATGAATGACAGCAGTCCAGCTGGAATAATGTCTGTATTTTCAGTGTTTGTATGTCTGTGTGCACATCTGCTGTCGTGTGTTACCTTGCGTTTGTGTTGTGTGGTAGAGATGTCCATCTCCTCCTCGACCATGTTGTCGATATTGGAGGTGGGGCTGCACTGGATCCTCTCCTCCTCTTGTCTCTGCAGCTTGTCAGCGACCATCTGGATGGCCTCTGTCCACTCATCTCTGGACACACAGTGTGGGACAAGTTTATGACTCAACTCAGCTTTATTTACACAGAACTTTACAAACAGCACAGTTGATCCAAATTGCTTCAGTGCAAACAGAGGAAGAGAAAAGAAAAAACAACAAAAGGAAGAAGAAAAAGGAGAAAGAGGAGAATTAGGAAAAAAAGGAGGAGGGGGAGAAAGAGGAGGAGCAAGTATTTGAATTATCATTCGGTCATTTTTTTTGTCAAAAGTATAAAAAAATTATTCTGGCTTCGTAGAAAGTGAAGACTTGATTATTTAACGTTTATCGTTGAGGTTTGGACATACACATACATCTACAGTACATAACATAATTGAAACTAGCCCAAGAGACAATACATTACACTGATATAAAATCTAATATTGGTCAGTGCACTTCTTTGACCAGGTGTGTAAAGACGCTAATGTGTTCTCAATTAACATAAACACCTATTTGTTCAACAGAGAGGAAACACGGTCAACTAGAGAATCAACCAAATGAGCAATGATCATGGAGCAGAACTAATGCCTACCAGTCTCTGTGTGTGTGTGTGTGTGTGTGTGTGTGTGTGTGTGAGAGAGAGAGAGAGAGAGAGACATCCATGCATTAGAGGGAACAATGCATTGGTGTTTGCTAACATTGTTCCTCCCCATTGACTTTCCATTAGCGTTGTTGTTCAACATCTGTTGGGAGGAAATATGCGAGTTTGATTTTGCGTGTGTGCGCGGGTGTGTGTGTGTGTGTGTGTATGTGTGTAGCAGAAGGCCAGGCATGCACCAGGATGTGTAGACACTCTAACTGTATTTAATGATGATGAATATTATGGTTTGTTCACAGAACCAAGTTCTCCTCTGCTGTGTTACACAAGATAAGAGTATATGAAACTTTATGTTAAAATCATTTTTGAGGTTTTATCAGTTTTCTGACATTGTAAATATGGTTAATTTTGTATAAAGACAATCTCATTATTTATTAAATAACATTTCTGACTTTGAATATAACTTTAAAATTGTTTCTTCGAGCCTGAGCTGAACAGAAAGAATTCCCCCTTGAATCTTCACTCAAACATCGTTAATCCGGTGCCACATGCAGGGCTCCACCCCGAACTGAGGTGAACCAAAGACGGTATTCAAATATTCAGAAATCCTCTGGAGTCCAGAGGAGCAGGTCAGGATTTACAAGTTTGCACTTTCAAATACACTTACCCATTGTAAGCTGTGAAAAGATCATAATAATGAAACCTGTTCCACTCTCAAACGATCACCCCTGTGTGTTTTGTTTTGTTTGGAGTTATATGCCCATATGTTTCCTTGAAGGATCTGGAAGAACATCCATCTGAACCTAAACAGAGCAGCGTGTTTTTAAGATCTGACTCCGTTTCTACTGCAAAGACTTCTGAGCGTACCCTACACACTCCAAAACAAGGGCAAACTCAAGTTATACTCCATCTACGACAATGGAACACTCAATTTGTGGCACCCATGATGTGTGTGTGTGTGTGTGTGTGAGCGTGTGTGTGTCTAGCTTCATGAAAAGCAGTGGGAACTCTCTCAAGGTCAGGCAGCAGATAAATGCTCTCTCTCTCTTGGTGAGTGTTTTTTTGTATAATGAGTTTTTTTTGCTAATGAGAGATAATGGGCCTGCCTACAATCCGGCACCATGCCAACATGTGCCACCCTCTCTGCTCGCGGTTGGGGCTGTGGTAGCTGGAGCCCTGCCAGCTCTGGTACAGTGCAACAAATACAGTAACACACACACACACATCGACCACAGACACCCAGTTGTGGCACGTACACACACACGCTTCTTTCAAACCCACCTAAACTTCAAAGATGCCCATATCACACACACACACACACACACACACACACACACACACACACACACACACACACACATCTGGATATGTCTTTGTATTAAGTATGTGACTTCATAGCCTACTGTGAAATCTTTATTTGATTATCTAGAGACAAAACTCCTAGCAAACAACATGTAACATAGACAAACTTGGACAGACAGCTGCAACACACACACACACAGATAAAAACACACACACAAACTCAAAGGATGCACAGAAGCATCTGTGGTCTTCTGGGCAAAGCTGTTCATTTTCTGGAGATAAACACCTCAGCTTCTCAGAAAGGAACTGAGCAGCTGGAGAATTTATGCCGACACTACTTGAAAGGTCTCCTTTCCACTCTGTCTCTCTCACCCTCTCTCTTTCTCTCAGACACAGACACACACACACACACTTCTACCCACATAATGCATACATACGCATATGTGTGTGTGTATATATATATATGTTTAGTCCTATGTCAAGATCTCTTAAAAGCTTTAGAGTTTAAAGTTGAGAGTGTTTCTGTTTCTAATTTCTATTCCCTTCTTTTACTCAAACATAAAACGTACACTGTCTTCAGTTACATTTCTTGGATAAAAAAATTAAGTTCTTCAGTTAAAATGTTAAGTTGTTTAAGAGAAAATGACTTTTGAAACAATTCTTTTTTAATTGGTAGGTTTTGACTAGAGTGAGTTTTAATGTCTGCTGCTTCTTTGAGAGAAATGTCAGACAGTCTGAAGAAATACAGGCAGAGCGCGTTTAATAGCCTGTGGTTGATTTGCCTAAAAGCATCTTAGCTCTAAGATGCCAAACAGAGAGAAAGTTTACTTCTCACTTTAAAAGAAAGCTTTGGCCAGATTAAATTATTAGCATCTAAATATGAGTCAAGCCAGACTCAGCCTAATATGTTGTAAATGATTAGAGCTCTCACAGGAAAGCAATGCTTGACCTTCTCATTGTTCACTGGCCAACGACTGGAGGATGCTCTCAGCAGTGAGCAGTTCCTCAGGGAACTGACCTCTCATCAGGCGAGTCCACGTGGAAGGTCCTCTCGATGACTGTGGTCCACTGGAGGCAGCGTATGATGAAGGTGTTCGGCTTTGGCCTCTCTGTCTTCATCAGCTGACATTCTGAAACAGGCAGCCAGAGTGTTGACTGTCAGTACATTTAAAAGTGTTTAAAATTGTTAGCGTAAAAGTTCAATTTGAGAAAAGGAGAAAGATAATCGTAATCGTAAGGTGCTTGTGGTTGCTTTGGTTCTGCTCCTGCTAGAACAAACTGTTTTAACTTAAATTATACGATTTTCAAGTCTGTCGATTTGTCAAGTTTCCCTGTTGATTTGCTGTGGAGGGTTTTGTCTTGATGTAATATCAAGATTCATAAATAACTATTGTCTAAGAGATGTACATGTGTATCTCGTAATGTTCAAAATGTCTTTAAAAGAAGTAGAAAAAAGAACCTCCTTGGTGGAGGAAAGGCATTTTAAACTAATATGGTTGTACATTTCAAATATATCCACCTGATGTGTAATTCCATTCAGCTTTTTTAGTTTCAGGGCCCTGAGATTGTGCATCCTGGCTCAATGTCATGCTTGACCCATAAGAAATAACAAAGGTCTAATTATTACTAATATTAGAATAAGTTCAAACCAAACGGGTTGTGCCGAATAAGAAGTTTGTTGTAACATTATCATTAAGAAAAAAATACAGGTCTTGCTGAGCAATATCTTCAGCGACCATTAAAGGCCCTTTCCTGTGCCAAGAGATATTATGTGTTGCAGGGCGTACACATCTGGCGAATACATCCGAAGAGACACATTTCTGTGAAAATGGGCAATACGGTCATAATTACACAAATGTATGATATGGCACACAAACACAAAGACGTACACACACTTGGCCAGATGGGGCTGTGAGTTTGCTATGGGAGGGAATACATCTTCATCGTCTCTCAGCAGTCTCTGTGGTTACTGGGGACAAGAGGTGATGTAAAAGAGCTAAATGATCCATCTTCTGTTGTCTCATCTCTCCCACTTCTTTGTTCTACATCTATCACCTTCTCCTGCTCTCCTCTATCTTCTCTTCTCCTTTGGTCGCCCGTCCTTCTCTCCTCACCTTCTCTCTTGCCCTCCACTTGCTTCCTCTCCTTTCCTCCTCTCCCCTCCCGTCATCGGCTATCCCTTCTCCCAATTACTTTCTGTTTAAGTGTGGCACAGCACAGCACGTCATGGCTCAGCCTAAATATAGACAGGAAGGTTAATGACAACACCACTCGGGTCGAGCACACAGCAGAGTTTCAATGTACAGTCACACGCAGACACAGATACACACACACACACTCGCACAAAGACGATACTACCTGACTCGTGAGCGAGGCCTGCTGTGCTGCCACAAAACAAGGTCAGGTTTGGTTGATGCCAAAAAATACTCACAACCAAAAATGGACACACACACGAAGTGATATTGAAGTTTGAACATTAGCTGAAATTGGGTTGTTTGCCACAGCAGGCAATTGTGAAATCTGTGTAGCAGTTTAGTTAGTGTATGCATGTGTGTGTGTGTGTGTGTGTGTGTGTGTGTGT